GGATTTGATCCAAAAACTGTATTAGCAATGGGAATGACACCCGGATTCTGGCTGCTCAAGAAGGCAATAGTCACGGCATTCCCATCCCCAACATTTTGTTGAAAGTGGATAAGCCCAAATGGGAAGGTAAAAACATCACCCTTTTTAACAACTTTCATAAACAGCTTGTTTTCTGGATCCGAGGTGACGAATCCGACAAGTACTTTCCCCTCCAACACTGTCAAAATTTCCGAAGCCCGAGGGTGTCGATGGGGAGGAACAACGCCACGTGGTGCGTAATCGACTCGTACGGTGGATATGCCTAGAGTGTTGAGGCCGGGAATTTCATTCACGGTCGGCCGGTTTACGAAGGACCCCAAGGGATTTGATGTGTTTCCAGGTTTGTGTAGTCCTTCGAAGAAGAAGTGATCAGCTGTTACCTTTTTAGGGTCTAGACATGCATGACCATTCACTCTAACTGCATTACAACACACAAAACAAATAAGTTTTACATTAAAAACCTTAGAAAACAAGAAAAAAATGTGGCATCAGTGACGAAAAACTCACGAACCTGTACTATCGAAGTCTGCCACGCAGAAATCTTGAAGCGGGCTGGGTTCACCAGCGTGGACGAGTGTCCATCCAGTGGCAAGAAGACTAATAAGGATTAACACAATATTTGTCATTTTTGTTGAACTTTGAGTTACAACTTTTAAGAAGAATTAGTTATATATTGATGAGGAGTGATTATTGGCAAGAACTCTATATATATAATACCCACAGTAATATGAAAGCTAAGGTTAGAGATTCCCAGAGAAGACGAAGTCATGAGCCTGCCGTCCATGCTTCATTCCAATGTTTTTCAATATTAAAAAGAAAACAAAAACACACGGACAAAACTGTATATGAAGTGTTCAACGTGGTGCATGAAAAATTACGACTCAATTATAAATAATAAAGAGCGAAATATAAATTTATTAAAATGCACATATGTATTGAACATGATTAAACTCATATTTGGTACTCTTTAAAATTTATTTTTTCTCGAAACTATTTTAATTAAAATAATTTTGCACGTAATCCCAAAATTTTTTCCTATATTTTAACGAGATATCCATTAGCTATATTAGTACAATGCTGTTTATACTATGTTGTGAGTATGAGACGTGACATGGAAATTCCAACTTTTTGTATTAAAAGTTGCACTTTGATAATTTAATTTATGTGTTTTAAGAGTGTCTCGTTGTTGTCCATCAATCGAGTTTTGATGCATTCTTATAACTTTGAGCTGTTGAAATTTAATGGATACATAATTCATCAGGTAACAGAAAAACAATCCCCCGTCCATCAATTGATCACGAATGAAAAAAAGTGTTCATCTTGGATTCTCTTCCTCAAACAAAATGTTGAAAAAAAAAGAAAAGAAAACTTTATCCCGCTAATTAATTTGAGTGACAACCAATAAGATAATTACCAAGTTTCAATATATATAGATATCATAAAGTATATTAGAGATGGATATGCCCTTTAAGTTAATGGTCATTAGACAAGGTCCTTAGTTACAATGCATGCGGGCAAAGCTAAACACTATTTTCGTCTTGTACGTAAAATCCAACCTTGTACCGTATGTAGGGTTAATTCTTGACCTTTTCAACTTGTTTTTTATTAAACTTGTTCAATTATACGAAGTGAAAAATGTTGCTGATTTATTAACTAATTGATCACGCTTTAGCTTTCTAATCTCTTCGGTTATTGTATTATTAATATCCATTTTTGTCGATAACCAAATGAATTGACTAAGTAACAAAACTCGTTCAAATTTTAATGTCAAATATCAAATCAACACTCATGAATGTATGCTGGAAAGATATGCGTGATATATTCTTCCATATCTTAAAGATTGTTGTAAATGCTAAGTTTAGTAGTAAATAACAATTTCACCCCTACAACCTTAGAAATTATTATCATTGTGTTCATAATCCTTCTCTATAAATATGAGGTTTTGGTGTTCATTATAATACACACAAGTCTATTAACTTATATTCTTTATTCTCCTTTTCTCTTTTTTCGTAACATGTTATTAGCACCAAAACTTAATTTTTCAAGGTTTAGTGAAGATTCACAGATTGTCAAGACACCGATTTGATTGATAGTACAACTATATATGCTATTCTTCAAAACAATTTTTTTTTTTGGACTTAACATTAGCAAAAAATAATGTTAATACGATAATCGGTGCATTGAATATCGTTGAAAGCTCTGAAAGAGCTTGTATTATTTTACCAAATAATACAAAATTATATATTGACGATATACTTCATTCTAGTAAATACAGAAAAAATTTGCTTAGTTTTAAAGATGTCCGTTGCAATGAATATTACATTGAAACGATGTAAGAAAATAATGTTGAATATCTTTATATAACTTTTTTTACATCGGGCTAGATACAAATAAAAGAAAATTTTCAAAAATCCCATCGACATATATTATACATTTATAAAAATGATTGAATATCAAATACTGTCGCGAATAAGAAATTCATTGGCCCAAAACGTTTTATACTTTATCATGATCGACTTGGACTTCCAGGGGTTATAATGATGCGTCTAATAATAAACAACTCCTATGACATCCTTTAAAGATCAAAAATATTCTTTTACGCAATGAATATCCATGTGTAGCTTTTTCGCATGACAAGTTAATTATTGGACCTTTGACTACGAATGTCAATATTGAATCTCCAACCTTCTTGGAAAAATTCATAGAGATACATGTGGGCCAACACACTTACCATGTGGACTATTTTGTTGTTTTATGGTATTAATTGATTCTTCTACTAAATGGTCACATGTTTGCCTACTTTCCACTAAAAATGTAGCGTTTACTAGACCACTTGCTCAAATTATAAGATTAAGGGTTTTTTTTTTTTTGCAAGAAAGATGAAAATTTTATTAGAAAACCTCACATGTGGCGGAAGAAAAACCAAAATTACAAAGAAGAAATTCAACTCAAAACACATCAACGTCTAAGATAAGGTAGTTCCCAACTATCCGTGTACAAAACTCCTCAAAGTAGAGTCGGGACCTTATCGCCCAAAAATAGGTCAATGGACGAACCATGCATCCACTTAATGCAAGAAAATCTGTCGCCATATTAGCATCTCGGAACACATGTTGCACCTAGATGTTTAGACGATGAATCAGCTGCACAATTTCATCCTAAAATTCCCATAGCCACCATAAAGTGCAGGCGCCTCTCGTTATCTATTGTACCATGAGTTTTGAATCGATTTCAACACTTATATTCTATAATCTTCGGTCCCTGCACATGTGAAGTCCATCAAGGAGTGCACGCATTTCAACTACCATGTTTGTGCAAGAGCCGTAATGGCGAGAAAAACCAGCTAACATACTCCCTTGCTGTCCCATAAAATACCCCCACCGCTGGCTGGACCTGGATTGCCTTTAGAGACGCCATCAATATTTAGTTTAAGCTGTTTGCCTTTCGGTTTTTCCCAACTGACCAGTTGTACCTTTGCTTTTTAACGTCGTTAATGGGGCAATTTAAGGAGCGCAAGCAATAGACATCACGATCTGAATTTTTTTTAGTTTTGGACACCAGACCAGCAATCTGAGAAAGCCACGATTTAGTCTGCCACACAACTTTTTGCCATAACATGGGATGACCCTCCATTCAAGCTTCACATTTGGTTTTCAACGCTTACCATGTGATAATAATTGGTGTAATGCCGCGAAGAATACCAAGCTGTAACACTCTACAAACTTTTCCCCCATAAGTTCATCATCCCTTTCCAAGTAGTAACAACAGGGAAAGACATGTTAAAATGTGCTGCAAAATATGACCACACCTTTTTAGCTAACTCTCCATTACACAGAACATGATCTATGCTTTCCACTGAGGGTTTTCCACAACAATTACATTTAGATGCCAGTGGGATCCCAATGTTTTGGACTACCTTATCAACTGGTAAACATTTCAGTCGGGCCCTCTAGGAAACAAAGGAAAATCATCGGGGAACATGGTACTGCCACAACCAACATTTCCATAGACAATGCGCTCCTTTTTTCCGGATTTAATCCCAAGCTGACTTGGTAGAGAAAGAGCCATCCTTACTGGCCTTCCAGACGTATTCATCACTCTCTGCGTTTAGATTCATATGGACACATTTTATATCAGCAGCTAGAGTTTCATCCAGTAACTCCCGAAGCTAACTTCCATTCCACTTCCCATCAATCATTATAATAGACTTTATCTGCAAACCTGGTTCTCTAACTTCATAACCTGCATCAGACAGGCTTTGAGAACCTCTCCAGTTATCAAACCAAAAATTAGAAGATCCACCTCGAACACGACAAAATGTGTTTTGTAGTACAATATGCAATGCCGAGATCACCCCCTTCCAAAAATGAGAATGAGTGGGGAAACTTTTTAGCAAAGGGACATGAATGTTTTTCTTGCATTTAGCTCGAAAGAATTCAGCTCAAAAGGTGTTTCCTTCCATACAAATCTCATAAATAGAGCTTGTTGAACTTCGTCAAAATTCCGAATGCCCAAGCCACCGTCCTCCTCTAGATAGCAGACTTTTCTCCAAGAAACCCACTTCCTTCTTTTAGAACCATCAGATGCAATCCAGAGAAAAGATGAAAAAATTTAGTTTAGATCATTATGAATACCTTTAGGCAAGTTCAGGACCGATAATATATGAATTGGTACGCTGCAAAGAACATGTTTGATTAATGTGATTTTGCCTCCAAAAGAGTGTAGTTAACCCTTCCAGCCATCTAGTTTCTTCTGAATTTTATCCCGCATAAGTTCAAACATATTCTTCAATAGCCTTCCAGTGTAAAGGGGAACACCCAGATAGGTACAAGGTAATACACCTTTTTTAAATCCTGAAACAACCAACAATTTCCTTTTGCATGTAGAAGTTATGTGTTTGGAGAAAAAAATAGAGGATTCCGTTGGTCTGGCCTGTTGACCCGATATCAGTTCATATTTTTTTAAAGTATCAAGAAGATGGACGATCGACTTTTCTCTTCCATTGGAAAAAATAAGTAAGTCATCTACATATAATAAATGACTAACCATCAGTCCTCCAGAGTGAAAAGGTTGAACTTGATTACCTTCAAATGCCTGATTAATCATTGTTGACAAAAGTTCTTGCGCCAATATAAACAAGTATGGTGACAATGGATCTCCTTGGCGTAGACCTCTCGAAGGCTTGAAAAACCCCGTGTCTGTGGATTCAGCATGATTGGGTAGTATGGAGAGGAAATACAATTAAACACAAGGTTTCTCCATTGGTCAAAAAAACTAAACCTTCTTAAGCTCTCTATTAGGAATCACCAATTAACTCTATCATAAGCTTTGGCCATATCTATCTTCAATAAAGTGTGCTCCCCTCTCACTTTCTTGTGAATACTATGCACCATCTCCTGAGCAATAGAACTATTATCAAAGATACTCCTACTAAAAGATGACTGCTCCCAAGAAATTAGTTTGTCACGGAAAGGGGCCATCCTAGCAGCCATAATTTTGGTCAGGATCTTGTACACCATCGAACAAAGGCTGATAGGCCTAAAATTTGCCAAACTATTAGGGGTTTCCACCTTAGGAATCAGAATGATGTTAGTTGCCCCAAAGCACAATTTAAGGGACAACCTCC